ATCCACACAGGGCTTAAGCCATTTTCTTGTGATCTGTGTGAAAAAAGTTTTAGCGAAAAGGGTAGTTTAAAAAATCACATGAAAATCCATGCAGGGCAGAAACCATTTTCTTGTGATCTGTGTGTACAAAAGTTTACCGGAAAGAGCAGTCTAACCAGACACATGAAAATCCACACAGGACAGAAGCCCTTTTCTTGTGATCGGTGCGACAAAAGGTTTACTGAAAAGTGTAATTTAAAAAAACACATGGAAATCCACACAGGACTGAAGCCATTTTGTTGTGATCTGTGTGTACGAAAGTTTACTGAAAAGAGCAGTCTAACCAGACACATGAAAATCCACACAGGGCAGAAGCCATTTTCTTGTCATTTGTGTGAACAAAAGTTTAACCAAAAGGGCAATTTAAGCAAACACATGAAAATCCACACAGGACAGAAACCATTTTGTTGTGATCAGTGTAGTCAAACATTTAGAGAAAAGGGCGGTTTAAAGAAACACATGAATATCCACACAGGACAGAAGCCATTTTGTTGTGAACAGTGTAGTCAAAAGTTTACTGAAAAAGGCAGTTTAAAGAAACATATGATGGTCCACACAGGACAGAAGCCCTTTTCTTGTCATCTATGTGAACGGACTTTTTCCCAAAAAGGCAATTTAAAAACACACCTAAGAAGTCACACAGGACAGAAGCCATTTTGTTGTGATTTTTGTGACCGAATGTTTACCAGTAAGGGCAATTTAATCAAACACATGAGAATCCACACTGGGGAAAAACAGTAATTTGAACGAACTTATAGGCAAGAATCCACACACACAAATATATTTAAACTTTTTTTTTTACATGTCTGAATCTTGTGATGAACAACATAATTTAACTAGTTTTGTCCGGTCTCCAAACACTCATAAAATACTTTACTTCCACTCTTTTAAACTTTTTCCTGGTAAAGTACATAACATTCACAAACTGCAGTTGTAAGTATCTAAGAATCTTACGTGTACATGTGTAATTCTGAGTAAATATCTAAATAAATTTATGCATACCAACCAATTTTTATTTTATAGTCTTTGTTTTTGTCTGTATCACAACAAAGGATTTGGACACTAAAAAGGGAGATAAGGACTTGTATCAACTGGCAAAAAAGAGGGATCAGTCTTGAAAGGATGCACAGCAGGTTAGGATTGGTATAAATAGAAATGGCAATGTTCTAACAAGGGAGGAGAGTGATTGAAATGTTTTAGTAGTTTCCAGAACAGGTGGAATGTTCCCTCTGCAGTGGGGGAAGTCTCTGCCTCAAGGGACCTGCATGCTCCATCCAAAGGAGCAAAATCTGCTCTCATTGACAGCAGAGTGACGAAAATCGTGTCATTTTCTCAGAACAGCTTCACCCACACTTGCTGTACACAAGGTTTGGGTTGAACTTTTTATCACAGGTGTATGATTTAAGACCAATTTCTTTAAGCTCACAAGTAGGGAAAACAATGGTAAGAATAACTGAAAGGTCATATTTTTGTTTAGAATTAAATAATATTTTATCACCAAATCAAAGTGGATTCAGGAAAGGGAGAAATACAAGTCACAACAGAAGTCGTCTCAGGGCACTGAGGAGCAGACTGAATTGGTAAATCTTTATTTAAATCTTTATTTGCGGAAGATGGAGCTTTGTGGATTCGAGGTCGTAATCAAGAATTTATTCGAAATAAAATGCAAAAGGCAATCAGTGAAGTTGAAATGTGATCCAATAAATGGGGTTTAAAACTTTAAATTATAAAGTCTCAGGTTATCTTTTTTTCTTCTAAAAACAAATTTATTTCCTTAAAACTACATGATTAAAATCTTGAACAGGTTAAGGATGTAAAGATTTTTAGGCATATTTGATGAAAAACTTACTTGGAAACAACATATTGATAAAGTTAAAATAAAATGTCAATAAAATATTACGTGTTTGGCAGGAAGGGAATGGGGTGCAAATAGTCATTAAATATATATAAATCTCTTATTAGATCAGCTCTTGATTATGGTAGTATCAGCTATTTGGCAGCAGCAGAAACCAATTTTAAGCTTTTTGATATAGAACAATCAAAAGCCCTTAGAATATGCTGTGGAGCATTTAGAACATCACCACTTACTTGCAGCTTTGCAAGTTGAAATGGGGGAAATGCCTCTACAAATTGGAAGGCTAAAACAAATGTTAGTATATTGGATTAGTAATGTTAAAGGACATGACCAATCGCATCCAGTTAATAGTATATTACAGGAGGGTTGGGAACATCAGAAAACAGATGGTTTTGGTTGGATTGGTAATATAATAGCTCAATATGCAGGGTTGCATGTAATAGACTTATGTCCAACAGTTAGTCATACTTGTATTCCACACTGGTTATTTATTAATCCTTCTGTGGATTATCTTTGCATAAATTGACCAAAAATAAAAGGAAACATATCTCAGAAAACTTCTTAGTGAAACAATTGTTTCATAAGCAATACATAGATGAAATTATTTTATTTACAGACGTATTAAAAGTTCCAGAGTCAGGACATGCCGGAGCAGCAGTCTATATCCCATATCAAAATGTAGGAATGAAGAAAAGAACAACAGATAACTTGTCAGTCTATACTGTAGCATTATTAGCAATACTCATGGGGTTAGAGTGGATTGAAAAACATAATGGTCAAAAATATGTAATTGCATCTGATAATATGGCAGCCTTATTAAGCATTAAGTCAAGTAACTCAAAAAGGAAAGACATTATTAACAGGAATGACCATATTCTTTATAAACTTGACTTAAGGAAAATGTCTGTAGATTTTGTATTGGTACCAGCACATGTGGGAGTGGAAGGTGATGAGGAAGCAGACGTTCTTGCAAAACAGGCATTAAAATCTAAAAATATTAACTACGAAATTCCATTAAGTAAAATGTAAAATGATTTAAAAAAAATAGATATATAAAGAAAAAATATAGAAGGAAACCTGGGACATACAGGAAGATGCTTACTGGTATATAATATTCAGCAAAAGGTAGAATATACAAGGAAAGCAGGAAGAAACAGGAAAATAGAATCAGTAATTACTCATATCAGAATAGGACATACAGGACTTAATAAATCTTAAAGTAATTGGAAAACATGCAATGGGACTTTGTGATAAATGTAAAATCCCTGAAACGGTTCAGCATGTTTTTTATGGAATTTAAGAATCAGAAAGAGGGCATTTCCATAAATAAATAAAATGAATATTAAATTTACAATTAATACCATTTTTAGTACTGATGTCAGTAAATTAAAATATCTATTTTTTTCTTGAAAAATACAAACATAATAGAGAGAAGGTAATTTAAACATTAAGTTGGCTTCACAGCAGTAGGTATTTTTTCTATCTTCAGTTCACACTCCAGTCCAATAGGTGGCAGTAATGCAGCTTCACAGTTGGTTTGCCAACCGCCATAAAACAATAGAAGAAGAAGAATAACGGAAGTGATTTCCTCCTTGCAGCGAAAGCTGTTCGGTTCGCGCGTGTGTTGACGAATTAAGCCTATTTTCTCTCGACTTCTGGTGAAATAAGTTTAATTTTGAGTTCTATTCAGCTGTAACTACTCGGTTAATGTTGAAGGTAAATACTGATGAACGAAAGCTAACAGATGTGGAGACAGCAGGTCCAGCAGCACCTGGATGCAGAGGAAGAAGAAATGGAGGTTTTCCTTGGAAGTAGAGATGCTCTTGAACAGGAAACAACTGGAGGAAGCCAAATATTAGATGCAGTTTTCAGTCCCAACGATCAACTGCATATAATAGGTTTGTATCTTTTTATTATTTCTGTTGAATGTGATTATGTTACAGTTTAGTCTGAGCTTTCTGGTAGCTAATGAATTTAGCTTCCTGGAAAGGACATGTGTAACTCTGTTTATAGCTGAGCTTGCTAACAGATTAAATAAAGTATGAGAGGTTACAAACCCTAAAGTGCTGATTTTAAAGCCCTTTGATAAACTAAATATTAACATTTTTAGTTTTACAACATAAAAGCTAACTATAAACTCAAAATTACCACACAAATATTTTAAATCATTGATCACTACATCATGTGATGTTTGGCCCATGTGGAGCAAAATGTGATCCTTGATTTTATTGTTTTATAACACTACTTTTTATTTTAATTGCATTTTATTTATGTTTATTGTTGTCTCTTTAAAACAGGTCTCTTTTGAAAATTAGTTCTCGTGACTCATTGAAACTTACCTGTATAAATGAAGGTTGAATGAATATAGTACATGGATAAAACCAGGCACAGAGTTTTATTTCCACTCTCAGTAGTGTAAAGTGCTTTGAGTATCTTGAAATAAGATAGAAAAGCGCTATATAAGTACAGTCCATTTACCATAATCAGTAAAGAAAAAAATGCATCTGTGAATTAGGGCTGGACAATATGGTCAAAACTTGCATCACAACATATTTCTTAATTTCGGTCGATACGATATGTAAAGTGATTTTCTGTGCATCATTGATGCAGCCGTTAAAGGGGTTTGTCTCGCTGTTGACAGAGTCCCATTCTCGCTTTCTCTAATATCTTTACATTTATTTATCTCCAGCATTATTAAACACGTCCATGCGTGCGTGCGGTCAAAAAACTATACACATCGGCCCCTAACACAAATCAGAATATAATCATTTCAGATATCCTGATGCATGCTCAATAATCCAGGTAGAAAAAAAAGTAAAGTGAGGTTCTCTGGATGGGTTAAAAAAAACTGTAGAAACTTTTCGTCTTTCATCTGAAAGACTTCTTCAGTCTCAGGGGCTGTATTCAGCTCAGCCTTATACATTTATAGCAACTTCTCATCTTGGCTCAACCAGTGTTGACATTCAAAACTAACTGTTCACATGATCAAGGAGGACCGTCAGCCTAACAATGGATCCAAAAAGCGTTCAATACAAAAACAATGGATCGTTAGCACTAGGGCTGGGCAATATTTAGATATTTTTAAAATATTGAGATGATGTAAAACACAATATAAAATGAGACTATATCTATATAAAACAATATACTCTGCATAAAGATAAATCCAGCAGTTTTTTCCCAGTCAGGCTGCAGCCTGCAGAGTCATTCACAATACCGCTCCTCCTCCCTCACTGACAAACCCGCTCCTCCCAGGCTACTTGCTTTAGCTGACAACGTTTATATATGCAGATAGCTGTTTGTTGACTCACAGTGTGAGGGCAATTTAAATTCATGATAAGGTGTGAAAATGAGGTGGCTGCTTCTACAAAGCTGCCTTGTGTTGGGAGAGGAAAAAAGTCAGACTAAAGCCCCCAGTATACTGCCGCGTACGTCTGTTCACGCATACGTACGCGTGTACTGTACGCAGAGGGTTCAGTCATTAAACTCCAGCGTCCACCCCGAGCAGCTGCAGAGCAGCTTCACAGACAAGGGGCGTTTACCTTCGGGACAAATTGAGGTCGCCGATTGGTCATTTGCTGACACGCCTACTGGATTGATTGACAGGTCGGGGGGAAAAAAACGAGCGCGGGCAGCCTCCACCGCAGCGGTGTTCTGTGTTTATATGTTGTTAATAAAAAGATCTAAAAAAAAAAAAACGGAGTGCTGGCTCTACAGCCCACACATCAGACCAGTCCACTAGGAAATCTCCAGACCCTCCCGCAGCCATGTTGGACCTGAGTTTAATTCGCTCGTGACAAATTCCTTCATTTCTCACCATTTCAGTCATGAAGTCAACGGACGAGGAAGACATCACTGCCTCTTGGCAAAAAAACAAAAGAAAAGACCAGATCAGGGATGAAGAAGGGGAATTTAATACATTGGTGTCGCATACAAAACAGTCCGTCGCTGGGAAGTTTATTGTGCGACACCGCGTACGCGTATGCGGTCGTAAAAGTTTGAGCTTTGCACGGACATGCCCTGGGGGGTACGCTAGTACCTCTGCGTACGTATGTGCGTACCTCTGCGTATGGATGTACGCGGCAGTATACTGGGGGCTTAAGGGGCTGTTTACACGGTGCATATTTGAGTGTATCCGCAGCTTTCTCTCTGCGGTTCTGCTGATCATTTACACGACACCAGTGGCCCCCCTCTTTGAATCCGGAGGTTTCTCAACCCACCTTCCAGAGTGGAGGTTTTTCACCGAGGCTTTGTGTTAAACCACATGCACACACGTGGACAGACGCTATATTTCTATCAACATGGCGGTGGATACACTGCTTTCTGAACTATGACTGATGGAATATATTTTTAATCTCGTAGTTAATCTACGTCAGATTCCAGGTGCTGTGACCAACATCTGTGTTGGAAGAGACACAATCTGATCCAGTTCTAATGTCGCTGTTTATAGAACGAGGCATGCGCACACGTCGCGCTGCACTATAACACTATAACATAAATGTGATAAATAATAAGTTTAACAATAATAAACAGTATTAATGTTAGGTGTGAGATATATAATGAAGCTCTCTGAGCTAAATGAAGCTATTGGGACATTACGTAATTCAAATGATGTGATTAAAATGATGCTAAACATATTGCATGCTATTAACGTTGAAAATGAAGACATCAGGTTTAATTTTTATTTTATTTATTTATTCAACACCACAAACTGATAATTAAACTGAACATTGAATGGATTGAATAAAAGAACTGAGGGGAATTTTAAATAAATAGTTCATCCATCATCTCTCTCTTCGACGTCCTGCTGCCGAGCCTCGTTCAGAACCGGTCCGCCTGGTGGGAGACAGCTCCTTCTTCTTTCAGGAAAAAATAAAAACTCAGTTGGTTGTTTTGTAACCGAAGTAAACACAAGCTAACATTATTAATAACATTTGATTTACCTGCTGTAAACCAGCTACTGATTATCTGCCAGGATGAAAACAGAGCTGTTAACTTGTTTTTTAATAGTGTGTTCAGTTTAATTATCAGTGTTTGTGTGACATACAGTTTGTGGTGTTGAATAAATAAATAAAATTAAACAGAACTGGATCCGACTGTGTCTCTTCCAACACAGATTGTCGGTCACAGCACCTGGAATCTGACGTAGATTAACTACGAGATTAAAAAATTTATTCCATCAGTCGTAGTTCAGAAAGCAGTGTATCCACCGCCATGTTGATTGAAATATGCCGTCTGTCCGACCGCGCGTGCGTGTGCACATGTGGTTTAACACAAAGCCTCAGCGGGAGATGTTTACATTTATCAGCGGGGGGTCAGCGATAAAACCTCCTCTGGAAGGTGGGTTCAGAAACCTCCGGATTCAAAGAGGGGGGCCACTGGTGTCGTGTAAATGATCAGCAGAACCGCAGAGAGAAAGCTGCGGATACACTCAAAATACTCGCCGTGTAAACGGCCCCTAGGTTTACACAGAGTGGTGCATTCAAGAGCATAGGAACTTTTAAATTTAGAAAGAAACGAGCTGTAATCAAACAGAACCGAGCTCAGTACAAGCCAACTACACAACAATGTGAGCTTTCTAACAGCTTTGTTAATAAAGGTTGAATGAATATACTTCATTAGAATCAGACTTTTTAAAGAGCAAGTCAGCCTTTCATTGTTTGCTCTGTTTGGGTTATGTTTAAATCTTAAGCGATGCAGCTGTGTTTTTGGCTTTGTTATGCAGGAAAAAAAAAAATATATATATATATTTTTGAGACATTTATGTTGTACACTTACAGCTTTGTTAAGCTGTGTGACAACCGGGACAAAGCTTTGACTCAGAAATATATTTTTGTTACTACGTTATGGAAAGAAAAATATATCGAGATGTATATCGTATATCGCCATTTATCTTAAAATATTGCGATATTAATTTTGGTCCATACCGCCCAGCCTTAGTAAATCGTAACATATATTGATATTGAATTATTGTCCAGCCCTAGTGTGAATATAAAGCTACAGTTCTCCTTACTGCATTTTACATGTGTTTCAGTGGTTCCTGCAGATGTTCAGAAGTCAGTGTTGATTAAAGAAGAAGCTCCTGAAGAACAGTGGCCTGATGTGGACCAGCAGGATGCAAATTGTCTCCACATAAAAGAGGAAGAGGAGGAACCGTGGACCATTCTGAGGGGAGAGCAGCTCAGTATGAAGGAGGAGACAGATGTCACCAGCTTTTCAGTAACTGCAGTTCCTCTTAAGAGTGAGGATGATGAAGAGAAACCTCTGTTGTCACAGCTTCATCAACATCAAGTTGAAGTCGGTGATCTTCCAACCAGCAGTTCAGGTGACCACATAGAATCAGCAACTGGTGAAGGAGAAAATGATACAAAAAACACAGATCTAAATGCTTATAGAGAAGATTCTGATTCTTTAGAAACTGAGTTTAGTCAAGATGATGAAGAGGATAATGATGTGAACAATCCTGAGTCTCAGCTGAAACTTTTATCAAACGTTGGGTTAAAAACTGAACATACTGAAGAAGTCTGTGAGTCTTCACCCAGCAGGGTCTCTGAGTCAAATGTGAACAGGGTCCACAACAAACATGGACTGAAGCCATTTTGTTGTGATGATTGGGGGCGCAGGCTACGGGACATTAAAATAGACGCATAAGAATCCACACAGGACAGCAGCCCTTTTCTTGTAATCCGTGTGAACGAATGTTTACTGACAAGGGCAATTTAAATGAGCACATGAGAATCCACACTAAACAAAAGCCATTTTGTTTTGATCTGTGTTAACAATGGTTTATTCAAAAGGGAAATTTAAACAGACACATGTAGGGCTGAGTACCAAACTTCGGTTCTTTTATGGTACCGGCCGAACAGCTTTGGTCAATGTGTGGATCAAAATATGCCTCTTCTTTCGGTGTCGAGTTTTGGTGATTGACTGTAATGTTACACATGGTTTCAACCATATGTAATGTCACAGCCAGCGCTGCAACGCAGAAAAAACAGACGTGGTTACACCCCAGACGGAGTTCACATTGTTTCTAAGCTAATCCTCAATATGCAGCACCTGACCGTGCGCGGAATTTAAGAGCGTAAAGTTGCTCCGTGTTTGACTGGAAAAAGAGAGAACCGCAGCCTCCTCCTCTCAGCATTTAAATCAGCCTTTGGGTGTTAGAGAGCCTGAACAGCCCGATTCAAAGTCTCCATGACCGGACTCCGCTTTGCACCAAGGACAGAGCTGTGTCTGGGATTTCAGCTGGTAAGTTTACATTTGTTAACGTTACTGCAGCTTAACACGTGCATTGCGGTGAGTTAAACTAGGATCCATGTAACGCTAATTTTAAGATATTGGCGTGTAGCTTTTTTATGGCTATCTATGTAGGTAGCTAAGATCAAAACCTAACTAAAGATTGACAGTAACAGATAAAGCTTAGCTTGTAAAAATGTGCTCATCCATCATGTGGTTAAACAGTTCATCTAATGTTCACTGTTTCTCCTGACAGGAGCCTCTGATCCTGATGTGAGGAGGACAGAGACAGACAAAAGAAAAGCGAGATGGGAGCCACAGGACAGTCACAAACTTTGTTGTTAAAATATAAAAAAGTTCAATCTGTTCTTCTGGACATTAAAAAAAAAATTAAAAATTTGTAGAAACATTTCACCTTTCATCCGAAAGGCTTCCTCAGTCTGAGGTGTTGTATTCAGCTCCGTCTTATAAATAGCACCCTCTCATAGTGGAGCAACCAGTTTGCTGCTGACAGCCAAAACCAACTGCTCACATAATCAAGGAGGACCATCAGCCTAACGATGGATCATTAGCACACTGATGGCTGTTTGCCAATAACACACCCTCAGCACTGGCTTTCCTCAGGGATGTGTGTTAAGCCCTCTCCTATTCACTCTGCTCACGTATGACTGCACACCTACCTATCCAGGCTGTCAAATTGTAAAGTTTGCAGATGATACAGCGGTGGTGGGATGCATCACAAACAATGATGAGTCCAGCTACAGGCAGGAGGTGGAACACCTGGAGAGCTGGTGCAAAGAGAATAACCTTCACATCAGTGTGAAGAAGACAAAGGAGATGATTGTGGACTTCAGAAGGAACAAACACACCTACACCCCCCCTGAACATAAGAGGATCTGCAGTGGAAGGGGTCTCCAGCTACAAATACTTGGGTGTACACCTGAATAACAACCTCAGCTGGAGCAACAACACCACCAGCCTGATCAAGAAAGCTCATCAGACACTCTACTTCCTCAGGCGGCTGAGACGAGCTGGTCTGGGAAGCTCAGTCCTCACCTCCTTCTACAGGTGTGCAGTGGAGATCATCCTGTGCTCCAGCTTCAACATGCGACATGGAGGCTGCACAGCTGCAAAAAGAAAAGCTTTGCAGAGAGTGGTGAAGGCTGCACAGAAGACTGTTGGAGTCAGACTCCCCACCATCACAGACATCTACACCTCCACATGCAGGAAGAGGGCCACCTGCATCATGAAGAACCCCACTCACCCAGCACACACACTGTTTGCCCCCCGCTCCCCTCAGGAAGGAAGTTAAGGAGCATTAAGTGTAGAACCACTAGACTGAGGATTACAGGATGAATGATGGTAAGCTAATGCTAATCTGCTATAGAGCCGCGAGTAAAAGTATGAACTGGTAAATGTCGATCAAATACTGTTTAGTAATACATGCAGTTTGTGTGTTTCAAATGATTCTCCAGCAAAATAATCACAGCAGACCTACAGTCTGTTTACATCCAGCTCTGGAGCAATAGTGTGCCATTAAAGATGAAAGAGGCTGTTACCTTCCATCGATGTATCATTTCAAAATTAATGTTGACAATAAAGACGTATTAAAAATATCTTGATTTTTGTTATGACACTTTAGTTATTTATCAAACACTGTAGATGGAAAATCTGGATTTAGCTCATAATCGTGACTTAAACTTGAAACAAGTTTCATATACAGGGTGAGAATTTATTTTGAAGTTTCCGGTAAATTAAAAAGAGTACAGATTATTAAAATAATAAAAAAAATATATATATATATATAAATCCTACTAATTAACTTTTAATGAACTTAATTCACCATTAAGAGAGAGTTCTGCGATGGAGTTAAACTCAGAGCAGTCTGCTCCTCAGATAAATAATGTTAAATTATTATTTTTACATATGAATGTTTCGGTTAACTTATTTTATAAATTAATATTTCTGTTCAGTGCCCTGGGATGACTTCCGTTGTGATATGGCGCTATATAAATAAACTGAATTGAATTAAATCATTGAATCCAAACATCTATATTTAATTTTTTTTTTTGTTAGTTTTTCTTCATCATTTGATGTATTTGCACTCATTGTGTCTACTTTTATTGTTCAATTTAGATATGTGGTTTTGTTGTATACATATTTTATTTTAGTGATTTAAAGTTTAATGCTTGTTTTGTGATTTGTGCAACTGTGGGTTAGAATAAAGTTTAACTAAAGGCTATATTTCTTCTTTAAATATGTTTGAGGGGAAAATTCCTGAGAGATCCAATAATTTCGTGTCTTTTTATGATTTTTCAGCTGAGTTAACTTTAATTAACATATTATTTAATAAAGTCTTTAAAGTGAAAATAGGATTTCATGATAAAGCCAGCACCGTTTATAAGGGGTGCACCGATAAATCGGCCGGCTGATTTATCTGCCTTGATTTCCTTAATTTTAGGAAATCGGAAATCGGCTGATACTTGCATGAGAAACCGATTTTACCTTCTTTTTATTTATTTTACTTGCTGTTTTAACGACAATTGTCTGAACTTGATTTATATTTCAGAACACAAACTCATGGCCAGTTAAAACAAGTATTTATTGTTTCTAGGATATTGTTCCAGGGTATATTTCTCAATAAAATAATATTGGAAAATTGAAAGTGCATTGTGACCTTATAACACCTGACAGTGTTGCTTATAAAACAAAATCAGTATCGGCCAAAATCTGAGTCGGCAGGTCAGACTTTTTAGAAATCGATGATCAGCCAGAAAACTGCAATCGGTGCACCCCTAGCATTTATGTATTTAGTTATTTTAATCTTCACTGATTTAAAAAAAAAAAAACATTTTTTTTTTATACATAAAATGTTTTTAAAAATCGTTTCCGTCCTCCGTCCCGGTCCGCTTGTCTGCCGGGTTTGAGGTTTGGTCTTCATGAACAGGCGACGCGGGGTCCGGGCATCGGCCTTCTGCGAGTCCGCAGCTCGAAACTCCGATGGAGAGGACTAGGGAGACGGGCGGAGGTCCATCTAGCTTGCTCTGAATTTTCGTCGGCCACCAAGCACAAAAAACACCTGCACTGAAGCATTAGAACACGTTGTTGTCATTATTCTAAAAAAAGTTCAGTCTGGTCCTCTGGATATTCAAAAAAACAAAACAAAGCAAAAAAAATGTAGATATGTTTCGTCTTTCATCCAAAAGACTTCCTCAGTCTGAGGTGCTGTGTTCAGCTCAGTCTTATAAATAGCACCTTCTCAGAGTGGATCAACCAGTTTGCTGCTGACAACCAAAACCAGCTGCTCACATGGTCAAGAAGGACCATCAGCCGAACAATGGATCATTAGCACACTGATGGCTGTTTATTTTTTTAGATTTTTCTACCTGGATTATTGAGCATGCATCAGGATATGTTGTCATTATTGGTTGTAATATCTTAAAAATAGGTCCAGCCGCTGCTCCGAGTTCCGAGTAATGACAAACGGCGGATCGGTGAAAAGTTTTCTGAAAGATCCAGTGACTCCTTCCCCTGACCATTCAGTGACTGACGGTGTTTTGACGTCACATTTTTGTGTCGGCTCAGCTCACTTGGACCCCTTGAGAAGATGGGACAAAGAAGGGGGGGAATCACCTAAAAAGTACTGGAGTAAAAGTGCTCAAAACCGTTGGGAACTGAGTTTACCTGAGCCGCGTAGTCACTGTAGAAAATGGGCATTAGACTGCTGGAGGACAAACTTACCAGATCTTTTCACTCTGCTACTGTCTTTACTTATTCTGCTCAGCCTGCTTTGTATTTGTAATTATTTTTTCTATCCTTGACATGTGTTTTTTGTCTTTCAGGTACACCTGCACCTATATCTGTATCTACCATTCTGTGTTCGTTTGTCTCTCCTTCCTGTCCTCTCAAACCCAGCCGGTCAAAGCAGATGGCCGCTTGTCTTGAGCCTGGTTCTGCTGGAGGTTTCTTCCTTTTAAAAGGGAGTTTTTCCTTTCCACTGTTGCCATTGTGCTTGCTCAGGACGGGAGACTGCGACGAAGTGAAGATTCGAGTCTGCTGGCTTCCTTAGATAGAAAACTTTACTAAATGGTTTTTCTATGTGAATGTTCTTGTCAAGTGCCCTGAGGAGTAAAACAAATCATGTATGTGTGAATATAAAGATACAATACTCCTTACTGTATTTTACATATGTTCCAGTGGTTCCTGCAGATGTTCAGAAGTCAGTGCTGATTAAAGAAGAAGCTCCTGAAGAACAGTGGCCTGACGTGGACCAGCAGGACACAAATTGCCTCCACATATTAGACGAAGATGAGGAACAGTGGATCATTTTGGGAGGAGAGCAGCTCAGTATGAAGGAGGAGACAGATGTCACGAGCTTTTCGTTAACTGCAGTTCATTTTAAGAGTGAGGATGATGAAGAGAAACCTCTGTTCTCACAGCTTCATCAACACCAAGTTGAAGTCAATGATGTTCCAACCAGCAGCTCAGGTGACCACATAGAATCATCAACTGGTGAAGGAGAAAAAGATACAAAAATCCCAGATCTAAATTCTTATACAGACAATTCTGATTCTTCAGAAACTGAAGTTAGTGAAGATGATGAAGAGGATAATAATGTGAATAATCCTGAGTCTCAGCTGAAACTTTTATCAGACTTTGGGTTCAAAACTGAATGCACTGATGAAGCTCCGGAGTCTTCACCCAGCAGGGTCTCTGAGTCAATTGTGAACAGTGTCCACAGCAAAAATGGACTGAAGCCCTTTTCTTGTGATCTGTGTGACAAACGGTTTACTGAAAAGTGTAATTTAAACAGACACGTGAAAATCCACACAGGACAGAAGCCATTTTCTTGTGATCTGTGTGAAAAAAGGTTTACTGAAAATGGAGATTTAAAGAGACACTTGAAAATCCACACAGGAAAGAAGCCATTTTCTTGTGATCTGTGTGAAAAAAGGTTTACTGAAAAGTGTAATTTAAAAAATCATATGAAAATCCACACAGGACAGAAGCCCTTTTCATGTGATCTGTGTGAAAAAAGGTTTACTGAAAAGTGTAATTTAAAAAATCACATGAAAATTCACACAGGACAGAAGCAATTTTGTTGTGATCTATGTGGCCGACGGTTTACAAGAAGGGACAGTTTAAAAGGACACATAAAAATCCACACAGGACAGAAGCCATTTTCTTGTGGTCTGTGTGTACAACAGTTTGCTGAAAAGAGCAGTCTAACCAGACACATGAAAATTCACATAGGACAGAAGCCCTTTTCTTGTGATCTGTGTGAAAAAAGATTTAGCGAAAAGGGTATTTTAACAAATCACATGAAAATCCACACAGGACAGAAACCGTTTTCTTGTGATCTGTGTGAAAAAAGGTTTAGCGAAAAGGGTAGTTTAAAAAAACACGTGAAAATCCACACGGGTCAGAAGCAGTTTTGTTGTGATCTATGTGGCCGATTGTTTACACGAAGGTACAGTTTAAAAGGGCACATGAGAATCCACACAGGACAGAAGCCATTTTCTTGTGATCTGTGTGTACAACAGTTTACCGAAAAGAGCAGTCTAAACAGACACATGAAAATCCACACAGGCCAAAAGCCCTTTTCTTGTGATCTGTGTGAAAAAAGGTTTACTGAAAAGAGCAATTTAAACATACACATGAAAATCCACACAGGCCAAAAGCCCTTTTCTTGTGATCTGTGTGAAAAAAGGTTTAGCGAAAAGGGTAGTTTAAAAAAACACATGAAAATCCACACAGGACAAAAGCCCTTTTCTTGTCATCTGTGTGAAAAAAAGTTTACTGAAAAGTGTAATTTAAAAAAACATATGAAAATCCACACAGGACATTAGCCCTTGTGATCTGTGTGAAAAAAGGTTTAGCGAAAAGAGTAGTATTAAAAAATCGCGTGAAAATCCAGACAGGACAGAAACCCTTTTCTTATGATCTGTGTGGGAAAAAGGTTTAGCGGAAATTGTATTTTCAACAATCACGTGAAAATCCACACAGGACAGGAACTCTTGTGATCTGTGTGGGGGAAAAAAATAGCGAAAAGGGTATTTAAAAAAAATCACATAACTCCACACAGGACAGAAACCCTTTGCTTGTGATCTGTGTGGGGAAAAAAAGGTTTATTGAAAAGAGTAATTTAAAAATACACATGAAAATCGACACAGGACAGAAGCCCTTTTCTTGTGATCTGTGTGAAAAAAGGTTTAGCGACAAGGGTAGTTTAAAAAAACACATGAAAATCCACACAGGACAGAAGCCCTTGTGATCTGTGTGAAAAAAGGTTTAGCGAAAAGAGTAGTATTAAAAAATCGCGTGAAAATCCAGACAGGACAGAAACCCTTTTCTTATGATCTGTGTGGGAAAAAGGTTTAGCGGAAATTGTATTTTCAACAATCACGTGAAAATCCACACAGGACAGGAACTCTTGTGATCTGTGTGGGGGAAAAAAATAGCGAAAAGGGTATTTAAAAAAAATCTCACATAACTCCACACAGGACAGAAACCCTTTGCTTGTGATCTGTGTGGAAAAAAGGTTTATTGAAAAGAGTAATTTAAAAATACACATGAATATCGACACAGGACAGAAGCCCTTTTCTTGTGATCTGTGTGAAAAAAGATTTAGCGACAAGGGTAGTTTAAAAAAACACATGAAAATCCACACAGAACAGAAGCCCTTGTGATCTGTGTGAAAAAAATATTTAGCGAAAAGAGTAGTTTAAAAATAAAGCATGAAAATCCACACAGGACACGAACTCTTCTTGTGATCTGTGTGAAAAAAGGTGTAGAGAAAATTTTTATTTATTTTTTTTTTAAATCACGAAAATCCACACAGGACAGAAGCCGTTTACTTGTGATCTGTGTAAAAAAAAGGTTTAGCGAAAAGGGTAGTTAAAAAAACAAGAAAATCCACACAGGACAGAAGCCATTTTGTTGTGATCTATGTGGCCGATGGTTTACACGAAAGTACAGTTTAATAGGACACATGAAAATCCACACAGGCTAGAAGCTCTTTTCTTGTGATCTGTGTGAAAAAAGGTTTAGCAAAAAGGGTATTTTAAAAAAATCACACAAAAATCCACACTGGACAGAAACCCTTTTCTTGTGATCTGTGTGAACAAAGGTTTATTCGAAAGGGAGGTTTAAACAGACATGAAAATCCACACCGGACAGAAGCCCTTGTTATCTGTGTGAAAAAAGGTTTACTGAAAATTACAGTTTAAAGAAACATGAGATTCCACACAGAACAGAAGCCATCATGATTTGTGTAACCGAATGTTTACCAGTAAAGGGCAATTTCAACAAACGCATGAAAATCCACACCTTGGAAAAAAGTAATTTGAAAGAACTCATGGGCAAGAAGCCACACACACACTAATGTATTTAATTAATTAATTAATTTTTTAACATGCCTGAATTTGGTGACGGACAACATACTTTCACTAGTTTTGTAAGAGAAACATTTCATCTGTCTCTAAAAAACTCATAAAATGCATTTACACTCATCTGTTATGCTTTTTTTATTTTAAAGTACATAACATTCACAGACTGCAGTTTTAAGCATATAATAATCTTCAGTGTACCTGTATAATGCTGAATAGTTATTTAAATAAATTCTGCATACCAACCGATTTTAAATTTGTAGTCTTATGTTTTGTATGTCTATCACAACTAAGAATGTGCACACTGGCAAAAAAAGAGGGATCAGGCTTGAAAGGATGTGCAGCAGGTTAGGGCTGGTTTAAATATAAATGTCAATGTTCTAACAAGGGAAGAGAGTGATTGAAATATTGACGCAGTGGCGGCTCGTCAATTAGGGTGCTAGGGCACCGCACACCCGCTCAAACCACTCACCTCATGACATATTACATTGAAGACTTAAAAAATAAAAATGAAATAATAAAATAAAAATATTTCAAAATATATGTATATTAATATATTAATTATGTAAGATAACTATTTTATAGTTAATGATGAGTTAAGTTGTTTCTTTCAAAAATGTTTCTCTGATTGGTGACGTATTTCCGTACCCTGGGGGCGCAAGAATCTTAGCCCATAGACTCTCTTTAAACTTGTACATGCACAGTTAGTCCTCTTCGTAACAAGATAGGAAGAATCTGGGCGCACTACGCAAGCGCCCTGTACCGGTGCACTGTACGGACCGTGCTTCCGGTCCCGCCGTCCCGGTACAGATTTATTTATTTATTTATTGTCCCAGAACAAATCATGCTGTCACATTCACAAGTCACAATCGTTACTAGACTATGTATGAAATATTATTTAGCTATCAGACAGCAACGCATTTAAAAGAGGTGCAGCATTAATTTTGATCAGGCAGGTACTTGGGTGACCCGCTGCATTCGGTGCTGGGCTTGTGGACTGGAGGCGACGTGGAAAATTCTAACGGCAGTCATTAATGTGCCTTATTGAAATATTTACATAAAGTTGTCAGCTCATTTAAAAGAGGTGCAGCATTAATTCTGATCAGGCAGATAGATGGAGAGATCCGCTGCATTCGGCGCAGGGTTTGTTTATGCTGGTAACCCTAACCCTTGGGTCCTGTGTAGAAAGGAGAGAGGACTGGTCTGTCTGAACCTGTTGCCTCCACGACCTGACCACAAACAAGCAGTAGAAGATAGAAATTGAGAGATGAAGGTAACAACCTAATTGTTTTAGATGTAGCATCCATCCATTATATTTTACCCGCTTATGGGGGTCGCCGGTGCCCATGTCCAGCAATCACTGTGCGAGGGGCAGGGTACACCCTGGACAGGTCGCAAGTCCATCACAGGGCCACATAGAGACAAACGAGACAAAAAACCAGTCACTCTCACTCACACCTAGGGAAAATTTAGAGTTACCAATCAGCCTAACATTTTGGTCTATGGGAGGAAACTGGAGTACCTGGAGAAAACCCACTCATGCACAGAGAGAACATGCAAACTCCACCCAGAAAGGCCCCCGGACCGGAATTTTTTAAAATGTAAAAATGTCAATAATATATTACGTGTTTGGCAGGAAGAGAATGGGGAGCAAATAAGTCATTAAATATATATATAAATTTCTTATGAGATCAACTCTTGATTATGGTAGTATCAGCTATTTGGCAGCAGCAGAAACCAATTTGAAGCTTCTTGATATAGAACAATCAAAATCCCTTAGAATATGCTGTGGAGCATTTAGAACACCATTACTTGCAGCTTTGCAAGTTGAAATGGGGGAAATGCCTCTACAAATTATAAGGCTTAAACAAATGTTAGTATATTGGATTAATGTTAGATGATATGACCAATCGCATCCGTACAGTGGGGCAAAAAAGTAGTCAGTCACTGATTGTGCAAGTTCTCCTACTTAGAAAAATGAGAGAGGTCTGTAATTTTTCATTATAGGTATACTTGAACTATGAGAGAAAATGGGGGGGGGGGGGGTTATCAGGAAATCCCATTGTAGGATTTTTAAATAATTTATTTGTAAATTATGGTGGAAAATATGTATCTGGTCAGGTCAGGACTCTGCAGTCTACACTCATCTCCAGGTCAGCGGTCACTCGTTCAGGGATGAAGATGTTCACATCCTTGATAGAGAAGCACGATGGTTTGAGAGCGGAGTAAAGGAGGCCATCTTTGTGAAAAGAAACCGTCCGTCATTAAACGGGTGGAAGCCTCCGTGTTTAACTGTGCCCCTCTTACAATGCTGTTATTGCTAGTATCACTCAGCCCCATTTGATTAGCAAGCAGTCATCAGGGTGCTAACGATCCATTGTTAAGCTGGTGGCCCTCCTTGATCATGTAAACAGCTAGTTTTGGCTGTCAGCAGCAAACGGGTTGATCCACTATGAAAAGGTGCCATTTATAAGACTGAGCTGAATACAGCACCTCAGACTGAAGAAGTCTTTCGGATGAAAGACGAAAAGTTTCTACAGTTTTATTTATTTATTTACTCATTTATTTAATTATTGGTTGTTTTTTTTTTTTACGTCCAGTGGACCTGACTTAACTTTTTTAGATTTTTCTACCTGGATTATTGAGCATGCATCAGGTTATTCTTAGTGAAACAATTATTTCATAAGCAATATATGGATAAACTTATTTACAGACTGATTAAAAGATCCAGAATGAGGACATGCCGGAGCAGCAGTCTATATCCCATATCAAAATGTAGGAATGAAGAAAAGGACAACAGATAACTTGTCAGTCTATACTGTAGAATTATTAGCAATACGCATGGGGTTAGAGTGGATTGAAAAATATGTAATTGCATCTTATAATATAGCAGCCTTATAAAGCCTTATAAGCCTTATATATATAGCATTAAGTCAAGTAACTCAAAAAGGAAATGCATTATTAACAGGATTTACCATATTCTTTATAAACTTGACTTAAGGAAAATGTCTGTAGATTTTGTTTGGGTACCAGCACATGTGGGAGTGGAAGGTGATGAGGAAGCAGACATTCTTGCAAAACAGGCATTAAAATCTAAAAATATTAACTATGAAATTCCATTAAGTAAAGATGAATGTAGAATGATAATAAATAGATATATTAAGAAAATATGGCAGGAAATTGGGACATACCTGTACAGGAAAACACATTCATAAAAAGATAGAATATACAAGGAAAGCAGGAAGAAACATGAAACTAGAATAAGTAATTACTCGTATCAGAATAGGACATACAGGACTTAATTAATCTCAAAGTAGTTGGAAAACATGCAACGGGACTTTGTGATAAATGTAACATCCCTGAAATGGTTCAGCATGTTTTTTTAATGGAATGTTCTGATTATGAATCAAAAAGAGGGCATTTCCATAAATAAATAAATAAAATTAATAGTAAATTTACAATTAATAACATTTTTGGTTGTGATGTCAGTATTTTTTTTCTTGAAAAAGAGAAGTTAATTTAAATATTAAGTTGGTTTCACGAGCAGCACGGTGGCGCAACTGGTAGAGCTGCTGCCTCTCAGCGAGCAGGTCCTTGGTTCAAACCCCGGTCCAGAGGCCTTTCTGCGTTGAGTTTGCATGTTCTCTCCGTGC